TAACTTGAGAAACAGACGTAAATACATTCCTGCATATATCCCAATTCGTGCTCCTTATAACCCACCTATAGTGAGCGCACATAACCTACCGATTCACCAGTCCACAGCCCCCTTTTTACTAGATCAACCAGGCCGGCAGGCAGCTAACAGCAACAGCCTGATCAACTAGGCCATCAACAGGAAAGTCTGACCCTGGGTCGGGTCATGAGAAGGAAACTTTCGAAACAGGTCACAGATAAATCCTAAAGCTAGAACATGTCTCTTGATACTCTTTTGTGTGCCTCCACCTATAAGAGGAACGCACCAGGGTAGTGCTTCATCTGCCATCTGTTACACAGCAACGGTCGTCTGGCTGAAGACCACCACCACCTACCGGAAAGATCCTGGGGAGGAAAGAGGACTGCAAGCCGTCGTGTTAGGAGGACACAGCTATCTCTGTCTGACCTTTTTGGTAATTCTTTCCTTCCATATCTACCTTTACCTAACTTTTTCTTCTGCAACGATACTAGACGGACCGCAAGATAGTTTTCATTTCCTATCTGTTGCTTATAGTAAATCACTTCAGCCAAAGTATTTATTTTTTAACCATTACCTCAGAACTTTTCGAGACGTAAGGGGACCCTCAAATGTGTAATGATTAACAACAACAACAAAAAACTAGGCAGATATTCTTAAAGTTAAGCAAAGATTTAAATAACTGGGAGTTTCAAACCCGGGAAACACGTTAGTTTCTCCCGGCAGAAGCCGAGTCTACCATGTTTCAACTTCACGAGGACAATACCAGCCGACACCACGGTTGGCGCCAACACTGTTCTCCCGCCAATTTACGTTCCTGGCACCTTGCGGTGGTTTAATATCTCTAATCATTTACTAACCATTAATTTCCAAATTTTTGTTATATAACACAACGACACGTATATGGTCATCTTCAGCTAATTTTATACACGCGCTTCGTTTTCTTAAATTTCAGAAAGTAAGATTACCTGTGGACAGGGGTCACTGCTCCTGCTTGTCTGTCCCAAATACCTATTCCTAAAACAAAACTAGCATAAACATACCAGTCTGAAATTTAAGTTCAAAAAACCCTTAATAAGTTCTTAAATTTATTTTTTGAAGCCCTTAACTGCGTCATTACTAGCCTAATGAAGGTTGAGGCTGCCCTATTAACTTTCGATGCTTTCTGCATCGAAAGTTAATAGGGCATATGACCCCTATGAGTTTAGCGCTTACCGCCTATTAAAAAAATTACTCAGCTCAGCGCTTTCTCTTCAATATCATAACTGAATTAGCCTACCTGGAGGGTATTCCGGGGATCAACGCCCCTGCGGCCCGGTCCACGACCAGGCCTCCCGGTGTATCAGGGCCTGATCAACCAGGCTGTTACTGCTGGTCACACATAGTCCAATGTACTAACCACAGCCCGGTTGATCTGGCACCGACTAAGTATCTGTCCAGCTCCCTCTTGAAGGCAGCCAGGGGCCTATTGGTAATCCCCCTTGTTCAGGGGTTCAAAAATCGCCTGAAAATTAGCTTTCCCCAGGTAAAATTTTTACAATGTTTCATGGCACTTTTTGCACCAAAATCGACTAAGTTATCTTGGTCTATAATAATTCGCACAAGTAGCTGTTAGTGAAGGGAGGCGAATCTTCAGGCGACAGAGTTCAATCTCTTATCTGTGCAAAAATAAGAAATGTCAATACCATCTGTTGGCACAATTCAAAATTAGATGTTACTGTCTGTCCTGGACCATTATTACTGATAACGGTCCAGGACTGATCGAAACTTGGAAAATTCTTTAAATAATGGATGGCGATGAAGCTTCTGTATAAATTTAACTTTACAAAATTAATGCAACAGTACGTCCCTGACACTACAGTTTTGTCTTAACAGACTATAAAGTATGACGTGCCTACTAACTGCATTTAAGGAACTAGTCTACCCGCAATGATACGAACGCAAGAACTGGAAAGAGTACGGACAAGAATATGCAAATGAAGGACACTTCTAAACTCAATTATGGAAAACTAAGACTGGAACGCCCACCTTAAGCACCCCTCCCACCCCCTCTTCCCCACAAGGTGACTTAGTCTAGTGGTAAGAGTTGGCGCATTACCGAAGTTCCCCTCTTCGATCTCCCGGCAAGGCTACACCAGCTACCTGTATCCACCTAGTATAATCGGTACCTGCTGTTGGGAGATAGATTGCATGCTGAGGGAGAGAGGAACAGAAAATGTGTAAGAAAACTGAATGTGCTAGAAAGAACAAGTATTGTGTAAATGCATCCACACAAGGCATTGCATCAAGTTTTCCTGTAAATTAGCAGATCAGCAGTGTAACAAAAGCTATCTATGATACCCTTCCATACTCCGTCACACAAGATAAATCTCAAACTAAAGTCTTAATACACAAATAACCTGCACATAGATGAAAGAAGCTCCTCTCTCCTAGGTGCGGGTTATTTGTGTATTGTCTTGTTACGAATCGAGCCATTTTGTTCTTTAAAGTCTGTTAATTTCAGTTGAGACTTCAATAAGACGGGTAGTCGAGCATTCCACTATGTTCAGTAGCTACGGCAGTTTTAAAGGCTTCGTTCCAGCCGAGCGAGTTGCAATTACATGGGAATTAAGGGTGAGAAGAGAAAAACTACTAACCCCTCCAAGCATGTACCTACCACCACTCCATTCTTCACACCTCACCTACTCCCCTTCCCCACAATCAACTTTCACCATCTCCCATGGTCTGCCAGGTCAAGTAACCTCGGTTATGATCACACAACTTTCAACGTTATAGTAACACGCAGTACGTGTTAAGTGATGCCAAAATAATTCCCATGGGTTTCAATATCCTTAAGCATTCAGTTAGGCTTTTTATACCAGTGAATTTAGTTCTGGGTTAGGCTTGGTCACAGGCCTGGTCACAGACCGGGCCGCGGGGGCGTTGACCCCCGAAACTCTCTCCAGGTAAACTCCAGGTAAACAGACGCAGGCAGGACAACAGCTTTTTCAAACTTTAAAATCTGTATACTTCCGCTGAGATATGCAGGTTGCCTTCCCTTTTATGTAACTTGCTTATTGGCAGTAAATATATAATAAAATTATAGTAGCTCAGTCTAAACTATAAAAAAAATTTGTTAAGATCAGACACGAAGGTAAATGCATTAGAAAACTACCTTATGTGTACTGAGGACGGATTATGTAGTTAGGAAGGAAAAAGGGTTAATAAAGTGGTAGAGGGGGGAGGGGATAAGATCCGTTTCTTAGGTTAGATTAGGTAAGGTACGTCAGGAAACAAGACAATTGTTTCCTGACGTGGATCTTAGAAATTATGATCCGCCATG